TCTCTCTCTCTCTCTCTCTTTACTTTTTCCTTTACTCAAACAAGACAAAAGAATAAATAATTTCTCTGATTTTTTTCTTCTCTTCCCTTTTTCTTAGCTCATTGGTTCTCCTAGCCCTTCTCCTAGGCTCATTGTTTCGCCGAAGACAGAGCACACCCGTGTTCAACGCAATTGCTGCCGCATTTTGCTTCTACTTCTTGTACTTTTACCAGGACCCGTATCTGGCATTTGGAGGTTAGTGACATTCACTGCTATTTGTTTTTGAAGAAGATCATCGTCTTGTTCTCAAATGCGGGCGGTAAGAGGGCACCACTGATAGGTCCTGCTTCTTCACTTTCCCTCTATTGTTTCTGTCTGTCTTTCTTGCTAAATCTTAGCATTAGATGACCATTATTGTGTTGATGTGCTTCTTTTTACCCAAACTTGTTCTCACTAGAAGTATAGAAGGCAAAAGAGGCCCCCATCAAAAGAGGTACATCAACCCCCTCGGGGCGGTGTTATTGACTTACTGAAGTGTCTTTAGGCCATTCCCAAAGGGGGGAGATTGACCATGTTCTTACGCACAGTAGAATTGTAATTGTTAACGGGCTGATTCATCAATGTCATGCTCATAACTGTGCCTGAACTGCAACAGGGAACTGCTGCTTTTTCTTTCCTAGTCCTTACTATCGTCATTTTTCCTCTACTTCTTTTGTATGTTTGTTTTACTCTTGTGACCCGCTATTATCGGGATGCCTTGATAGTCGAAGCAGACTTTGTGCTGTTGAAGCTAGAGATGTGAGCAGAGTAAGTCTGATTCCCTTTAAGGACTTCTCTGTTGACATCCACCCCTTGGCGCTCATATGACCTTATGCTGTTGCAAGCGCCGTAAAATCTCTACTAAAAACAAGAAGTACATCAAGAATAATTTTCATGTAATTTGCACCTTCTACTTCTGCCCAGTGTTATTATTTTTATTAAATCATAGTGGACATACACACACGCACACACACGCAGACACACACACACACACTCATACACACACACACACACTCATACACACACACTTTCACCCGCACACACATTCACACTGCTGCAACCATGCATATTTATACCCAAACATAGCGTACACTCTCCTACACAGATACATGCTATCACAAACACATGAACACACACACAAACACACAATCACACCCACACACCCACACACCCACACACCCACACCCACACACACACACACACAAACACTCACACACACACTCACACACACTCACTCACACTCTCTCTCTCTCTCTCTCTCTCTCTCTCTCTC